TGGCTCAATGGGGTATCTATGTACTCCAGCTAGCCCCGGGCGGTTATCGCCGATCGATCAACCCGACCGATCTACCCAGGTAGTCTGTCAGTCGGCTTGTTCTTTCTTGCTAGCGTGCAGTAAATGCAGACGCTCGCAGCCAGCCACTAAGCACGCATCTGCAGTGTTGGTTCCTTGGAGTTACTCTAATTGGCGGGCCATGCATGAGGTGTTTCGAACCCCCGCATTTCCACTGTTTCGAACCCCCGCATCTCCACTGTTTCGAACCCCCGCATCTCCACAGTTCGGCCAAGCAAAAGGGCATATGCGCATTACTCCTCAGTCCAGCATCTTTATCTTTAACTGCCAACGCCACAAGTGCTGTCTGCTTTGGAGAATCCGGTTTAACCGCGACGTCGCGACGCAACTGCTCCTTTCGTTTGTCAACTATGCATATACTCGGTACAGGGAGATCGAATGTTCTGAGATGCATGAGCCATGCAGGCGCCACCAGCTGCGTGGCTTGCAATGCGAAGGAAACATGCTTGGAGAAGGGTACTTCAATTTTTTTGCACTGTTTTTCCTATCCTAGTTCGTGTAGCTGCATATGTGGTCCATGCATCTCTCCCTGTACTACATGAGTATGTGCTTCGACATTCTCCCCGGTCGACCGTTCTATGTTGGAACAACTTACCACTTCCTCTCTGGCGCACATGAAACATTATTGCAAGTGTATAGTTAAGCAATTTGCAGGTGATTATGACTTCAAATGTGACAACAAAAACAAAAACAGCCTCGATTTCAAGATTTCTTTTCTTGATTCATTGGACGGGACTTCAGCCACCGTCAGGTCTTCCGCAATGACTGACACTGTCTGTCAGCGAGAGCAAACGCAGATAGTAGAGTCTTTGGCCCCAACTAGAGATCGTTCCTAAGTCGAGACCACCAATCATATTTCGTGAGGTAATAGGGTATTGATAAGATCAGTGCCTTTTTCCTGGCGAATCTCGACTTACGCACAATCTCGAGTTGGGGTTAAAGACTCTAATCGGCCTGAGACATGATATCCCAAGTGCACGTCTCGAGCCAAAAGCTGAAACTTAATGAGACTTAGGTGAGACGAGATATTTTGGGAGATTTTTCAGCATGTCTCGGGATATGCAATAGGAGAGGGGAGGATAAACGCGAGTGGGTAGACAAGAACGAAGATTCATAGTACTAAGTATGTGCATACTCATATATATCTTATCACGGGGCACGGGAGCGTGAGATTGAGGGGCCCGGGCAAGACGACAGACTCCAGGTATCGACGATATGTCTAGAACCCCTCCTGAGATCTCATCCCGTCTCGTTCCGCTCTGCCACTAACACTATACGCGTTTGCAGATTTAGAGGGGTCAGGAATTACCACGTCACCATGATCTGTAGGATCAGAAAATCCAAAAAGTGCACTTTGAAGTGGCTTGAAAGCGTACATATTGCCTTTATTGGGATATTCCCAGACAGATATCAATTTGCTCATGACCAGCGGCATATGTGGTTCATGCAGCTTATGGGGACGTTATACTTATGTGCAAAAAAACGTTGCCATCCATGGTATCATGAATACGAGTTATGAGTAATTGTCTCATGATCAATCTGCAGCCAGCTTTTCACGATAATCATGCAGACGCCTAGAATGGAGCTTGGAAATCACGAATCTTTCTCTAACCCGGCTCACCCTGATAGAATCCGGGGGCGTTGATATTGATGCCTTCATAATCTCTTTCGAATTCGCGGTGCTTAATATTATTTTTCAGACATCAGTCTCATCCCATTCATTATCCTTGAGTATTTTTCCAACCAGCACTGCTGCCTCTTCCTCCACCATCTTCGCAATGGTTGATCGCTACACATACATCGTTTCTTGAAGAAACAATCTTGCTTTGTTCGACCAGTTCATTCTTCACGCTCTTTACATATCTTAAACACCGCCAAATCTCACATATTTCACCGACCTCGACGGCCGCCTCATCATCATCTCCTCTACGATCCTTAGCGCTATCACACGTACTACACCTGTTGGGAAGAGGAAACTGTTGCGCGAGAAACATCGTGCGATATTGTTGGAGTGCTTTTGTTTCCTGGGGTTGTTGTTGGACATATGGGGGCTTTATCACTCCTTCTCTCTGCTTCGAAGCTTCTCGTCTACACTCATTACAATCCACCGCCATCACTACTCTATGTACCATATCGATATCAATCATCCCCCGACATGCCGGCAAGCTACCTCTAGCTCCACCCTAAATCCCGCGGCGCCGACCGCCTACGGTTGCATCGACTCTCGATGACGAACACCGTTTCAAAACGGCTTCCCCGATCACAAACCCCCGCGAAAAGGGGTCCTTACCACTACTAGTTTTTGGTTTGAAAATTTTCGCGTTCGATGCCTATCGGATTTTTGTCTCCTCGTGCATCGAATTCGGCAAGCCCAGGGTCTCCCAGGAAACCCCCTACTGGATTGTCATTGGCGTCGTTGGCTGTGACTAAGAACAGTCGAAGTTCGTCTGTCCGGCGGTCGGGAGGTGGAGTCGACGACGACAAAAGCACGCGTGCCCCGTACACACACGACAACACCGGCGACCGAGAGAGGGAGCCCCTACTGCCCCTCCACAACAGATGCGCTCTGCCACTGGCAGTAATTGAGATAAGGAGGTACCTAGGTGTGAGTTGGCGCGTTGGGTGTGTGAGATACCGCAAGCCTGCCAAAGAACTCCGAGCACCCGTACATTGGCTTCGCCGCTGCCCGACCGCCGGGTACACGGACTTCGACTGTCCTTAGTCACGGCCGGCGTCGTTGATCGAGTCGAACCTAGGACGTTCCTATACTAGACGGATGCTCTACCAACTGAGCTACCGGCCCTTTCACCTGGGCCGAGGTTGTGAAACATTGTTGTCGCCGCCGAATGAATGTGGATTGACACATTCCAATATATATGGGCCAGACCGGCCTGATTGTCATCGGAGATCCCTCCGACAAAGGATTCGCTGGTAGACCAGCGAATCTCTTCGCAATGCCGCGGGGCCGCGAAGTAAAGCTTTCGACGAAGTGAACCCCCCGTCAGTGGGGCTTTGCTTCAGTGACTCTGTCACCACCGGGGCCGATAACCTCCTGAGGATTGAGTGTGACGGCCCCATCCATGTATAAGGAATGTCAGTATGGTCGGGATTCACAAACTGGCCATACATGCTGCCAATTCCGATGCATGTGGCCAGTATTGGGATGGGACCTACATCATTCCAATACTTTGCCAAGAACCCTTGGTAGCAGCCTGGGCTCGACGCATACAGAACCACCCATACAGTCATCTACAATATTCAGGTTTCCATGATGATATGTATCTCGCCATGGAAAATGGGCGAGGTCGAAAACCTACAAAGATCGTGCGTTCCGGGAGCAGGTACTTTCTGCTGTGCCTTCGACCATCACCATCATCACATCCTCCTACCCAAAACCCCATCATCTCCGAATCCACCCTCGGAACCTCCTCCTCACCCTACAGCTAGCACACGACTGCTTCGAATTCCTCCACCACACTGTCTCCCCACTCCAGTCCTCCGAGTGTATGTTAAGGACAAGTCAATCAAGACGGGAGTAGTTGGTATCAGCCTGCATACTCGACAACCCTCGAGGCCTCCGATAGCACAGTAGTAGCCTACTTCTGCACCCCGTGCGATCGAGACAGCACCGGAACCCCTCTCTCCTCCTCCTCTCTTGCGCTCACCAACGAAACCCTGGACCCCGTCATGACCGTAAATCCCACCATCTCCCCCTCCTCCTCTTCGGACGCCAAAATCAACGTCCTAGTCCGCGCCCAAACCGGCGGCCCTTACACTCGACATCCCCGTCATGACCGTAAATCCCACCATCCCCCCCTCCTCCTCCTCGTCGGATACAAAAATCAACGTCTTAGTCCGCGCACAAACCGGCGGCCCTTACACTCGACATCCCCGTCATGACCGTAAATCCCGCCATCCCCCCCTCCTCCTCCGATACCAAAATCAACGTTCTAGTCCGCGCACAAACCGGCGGCCCTTATCACCCGCCTCGAGGCCTCCAACAGCACAATAGTAGCCTACTTCTGCACCCCGTGCGGTCGAGACAGCACCGGAATCTCTCTCCTCCTCCTCCTCTCTCGAGCTCGCCGACGAAACCCTGGGCCTACAGGGTCACTGGTACTTCTGGTGGTTCCCGTCCACCGTCCTCCCTCCCGAGCCAACACCTGGCATCCCCGTTATGACCGCAAATCCCTTATCACACGTAGGAACGCTATCTACAAGCCGTGAAGCGCTTCATCACCTACCTCGGAAGACAGTACCACCACTGGTCTACCAAGATTCACCGACTACAGTTATCGAGTTTCAAATCTACAACACGGACAGATACCATCGCAACACCTACACAGACCTATACTATTACCGGATACCTAGACAGAATACGCATGGTCGAAAGGTTCATACTGTTGGGCAGCGGGGCTCTGATAATTGAAGAAAGATGGCGCAAGGCAAGCAGAAGGAAGATCACGGAGGTGCGGTTCACACTTGGTATATTATAGCACGGATGGATTTCACTTTCTTTACTACTTGTACGGGATGGCCTTCCCACGGAGTGTATGAGGAGGGGGAAGTGTTGCATATATGTACATAGATAACCTACTCTGTGACGGCTGTGGGCATGGGCCCGAGCTTCGTCGCACAGATATATATATGGGGACGAAGTCCTCTACTGAATCAATCAAGCATCTATCTCCGTATCAAAAGTAACAGCACTTGTTAAACTTATGGTTCTCGAGTTGTCTGATTGTCTATATACGTGGAGAATGACTTCTCTTAAGTACCATTACTGACGGTGCCATGCCATAAGATGCCGAGGCCTGTCATGAAGCGCTGCGCCTCCATGACGCTTCTTGCCACCACCAGATGGCCGCATCGTCATGATGGATGACATCGACGATCGCACCGTCATGACTAGATGACGTCGGCAAGGATGCTTATAGTAACAGCACTCGAATTCACGGGTGCGAGTGATATTTTGTGTAGCGGTTGAAATATTCTTCTAAGGTGTTCTCGTGTACCAAACTTTCACTCAGCGAAAAGCAAAGCAGGGGCTAGCAGGCGAGATCACTTCTAAGGCAGCGGTGTATGAAAACCACTAAATATCACCCAACGGTCGTCGGTCGAGCGGCAATTTTCTTAGACAACCGTTCCGTTCGTTATTTTCCCAAACGCGGCCTTACACCTTCATATCGCAATAGCCTCCGGATCCAGCCTCGGTAGATCCATCTCTGGGGAGTCCCTTAGCTTGTGCCTCTAAATTCAACACAAGCTCCTTTAAGCTAGTTATGTCTTGCTCCTGCCGTGTAAATCAAAATCCGCAGAAATTGTATTTACTGCAGTTATAGTGTACTTAGAATCCGGGGCGTGGTCGACTCCCAGAGTACAGCATGCTCCCGGAGTTCAAGCATCATACACCGGACCCACACACTCTACGGGATGTGGGAAATTGTGGGCATGTATTTTCCCCGTAGTAAATAGTGCACAGTAAATGCGTGGTCACAATTTGCATGTATTAAACTCATGTGCATGCATTATTGTCCCATACAAACATGCAATTCTATCAATTGTTCCCATACAAACATGCAATTCCATCAATTATTCCCATACAGATTAGTATATCCCGCGAATTTCCACTACAATTTCCTTGTGTTTTCCCACGCAAGTATGTAGGGGAAATTGGTGACAATTGTGGTGATGTTTTCGAATTCTGATTCCATGGTGTTGAGGTTTTTAAACCGCTGTATTTAAGTCACAGTTACGATTCACAGCAAGGGGTTATGTCTTCTCCGACCTACTTTTTTGCCGCGAGTATTTTCGGAGTTTCCAAGTAGTTCAGGAGCGGTATACATGGGTGTGAGCCTGCAGGTTGCACGGTGGTGGTGGTGATTGGATGGTGGCGGTGATGATTATGATTGCAACGCTGACATGTACTTACCTGTACTTGGTACTGTATGTAAATTCCTGACAATTGTAACATAGGTGCCATGTATTTACATGTAATTAGAAATTGTGGGTAAATTATATTTACCCTAATACAATTATCTTCGAATTTCCCCACAATTTTCCAGGTCTCGTAGAGACAGCACCACGGTCCGAAGTGACAGCACTCCAGATTCTCCGGGGTGCTGTTCACCGCACACCACGGGAAAAAGCTCTGCTCCCCAGCATCCCAAGTGCGTCCCTCCTGTTTGAGTTTACTAGGGCGTCGCGACGGTTTCAATTGACTTGACTGCAGCCTCAATCCTTCGTGAGATAAACTCGTCCTCGTCGTCCGGGAATACGACCGGGCTCCTCAATGAGTGCACGGAATGCTTCTGAACTGCATTATAACTAGAGACGGGACGAGATCTCAGTAAGGTCCCGGGACATCTTTTGTCCTTAAGCTTGGGACATCAAGGTCTTATTGTCCCGGGCGCAAACAGTCAGCTATCTCAGTACATGTATACGTACTTTAGGTAGGAGCGTGGTGTTTACATACAGAGCTCGGGAATGCATCAACCGGAAGGGGAGAGCAGTCCTAGGCTCAAGTTCTTTGGTGGTGGTGGTGTTTCCAAATCGTCGTCGCGGGAGTGGGAGTGGGAGTAGATTAAAAGAAGGAAAGAAGGGATTGTTTCTGGTTAAATTGTTTTTTACAGCCCCCCATGTCATAATTGTGCCATGGGTGGTGAAAAAAAGATACCCATAAGTTCTTTGAATGAGAACCCATGAAAGTTGAAATTGTCACCTCAGGGCCAACTTTGAATGAAAGCGCCACGGACTTTCATGATCAGGTTCCGGCTTTCGGGAGATATCTCCAGGACAAGGCTGTACCGATCAGCGACCCGGGCCCGGAAAACCTAACGATATCCGGCTGTGGCGAGGTAAACTCAAGGTTTTCTGGTAGTGATTCTCATCCAAGATCCATTAATTTAGCTCTGTGCTTACTCAAGTAGGTTGATGGAAGATGGAAGATTAAGTACAGAGCGCAGGAATGTTTAAATTAAACCCATATACCTACCAACGAAACGATAAGATAAACCCAACGTCTAGCAATAAGACCAAGCAGAAACTTCAAACCACCCGCAACTCCCAACGAAATGACAAACCTTATCCACGAACCTAAGCCCCAGGAACATCCCATTGCCAAGAACGTTAACCAGCTGCAGTACCACAGGCACCTTCAGGTTTCTGCGGACGTCACCCCTAGCCAAGCCCGGAGGGTGCGGCGAACTCGCGAGACGAGACATCACGTCTCGAGTGCTTTTCTGAGTTTGAGGAGTCTCGAGACCTCAGGCATTGACATCACGAGTGATATATGATGACGAACAATATACTGTACCGAGCGCGAAGCTTCGGACGTAGCGCATAACAGATGGGCGGTATGGTAGGAATAAAGCGTGTTTTCGTGGTAGTCACAGGGCATGCGTACGAGTGTATAGAGTCTTCCCGTCACACCACCAGGAAGAGATGGCATTCAATTTCCAACTGAATGGTGGTTAGAAGACACCATGATAAGAAACACCTCAAATTTCGAATTCTCAAGAATTAAAAGAAAAGGTGTCACATCAACCCCGTCAGTAAAAAAAAGACATCACATCCCAGTGCTCGTCCGAAGCTTCGCGCTCGGTACAGTATACTCAGTATGTTCCGACCCACACGCCAAAATTTTCCGTTTGTCAACCTATCGACCTTTGGCCAATCGGTCAACTCTTTGGCATATAGGTCGACTAGTTGGCCAACAGGAAGAGTTGGTGAATGGGTCAACTCACTGGCAAAGTGGTCAACCGGTGTACCAAGTTCGCAATCACAGTATTAGTTACAATTGA